ATACTATGGCTACAGCCTCCACGCCCCCGCGGACCGGTCCGTACACAGTCCCCATCGCCTCCCACACCCGAATGCACATCCGACCCGCGGCGGGCGCCTGAGCTACGCTACAGACAAGAAAATTTGTTCATAATACCTTTTTCCTATGGTTTTAAGACTGGATCACTGGCTTATAAAAGGGAGAGCAGAGGACTTGCTTTCTTTTTTCCTTTTTAAAAATATATTCTATTGATTTTTTACAGAGAGGAAGGGAGAGGGATAGAGTTAAAAACATTGATGAGAGAGAAACATCGATCAGCTGCCTCTTGCACACCCCCCACCGGGGATGTGCCCGCAACCAAGGTACATGCCCTTGACCGGAATCGAACCTGGGACCCTTCAGTCCGCCGCTCTATCCACTGAGCCAACCAGCGAGGGCTATTTTATTTTTTTATTGACGGTATTGATGTGACGTTGGATAATAAAATTTGACTGGATAATTATATAGGTTTTTTCTATAATACGTCATCTTTCTATCTGGCCTTGACTAGGGATCGAACCCGCAACCTTAGCATATTCAGATGACACTAACCAACTGAGATACCCAGCCAGGGCAGGGAGTGCAGTTGTAAATGGGGTTGTGGAGCAGAACCCTAAAGTGGGGAAGCAGGGAGCCCTGTGGTTGTCTAGAACAGTGCTTCCGGCTAAGGAACACCACTGCACAGGGCTGGCGTTAGGAGGAGCAATTGAAGCCCAGGTACCTTCAGGGAGTGAGTAGGGAGATTTACAAGGGGAGGAGGTCAGAGATAATGGGGATTCACTGTGAGTCATTGTGATGCGGGGGCTTTTACTCAGCTCAGGAATTTGAGCTGTTTGTGCTACTGGCTATGAAGCTGGAAAGCAAACTGCTAGAAAGTAACTGGGAAGAAGACTGGGAAAAACCCTTGTGAGACATTAATTTGAGTGGAAAGTAGCCAGGCAAAGGAGAGTGAGTGATAGAGCTTATGGGCAGAGAAAAGAGCCAGTGTTAAAACCCAGTGGTGGGAAAGAACTTGGGAGAGGTGGAGGGAGAGGGGCCAAAGTGTCCCTGCAGGGTGAAGGGAGTAGTGCCTGCAGAGGTGGGCTGCAAGGACAGAGATGGCGGGAGCAAGCCAGTTTAGGGCTCATGTTTATTTATCCCTCAATTTACAAGGTACTTTGGTCCTGGGCCCCCCACACCTCAGTCCCGAAGCTCCCCTCCGCGGTGGCCTCGGCATCCTCTTGTTGTGCAGGGGCGTCCTCTTGCTGCGCAGGGGCATCCTCTTGCTGTGCCCCTAGGAGCAGGGCGTCATTCTCCAGGAAGTTCCCTAGTTGGGCCAACTGCCAGCAGATGAGGTTGGTGGTGCGGTGCACCTTGCGCACATGCTGGAGCAGGCACAGCACCAGGGTCTGGCTGCGATCCTGGCGCTGGCCCCAGGCTTCGCGCAGCTCACAGTGGCAGTTGTGGGGTCCATGCTCCGTTGGGCCCAGGTTTGCACCACAGCCCAGGGCGCAGTGCTGCTGGGTCCCATGCTGGCAGTGCTGCAGGTGTGCCACCAAGGTCCCACGCGGTATTTGCACCATGCAACCCTCGTTGGGGCAGGCCATTAGCTCGAAAGGGCATGAGTTCTGGTGCCCCTTGCGATGGGCCAGGGGGCACGTCACCGAACAGCCAGCTTCAGCGTTCTTGCACTAGGGGTGGGGGAGAACAAGGTGAGCCAAACCAGGTCAGGCATTGCCAGCCTTTGAGCTGCCCACCCCCAAATAATTACCCACCCATGACATACATTCCACTGACTAGGAACCAGGGAACTAACTGGGAACCTCCCAAGCTCTTATGGCACCAATGATGTGAAAAGGGGAACAGTTGGACAAATGCTTAGAGGTGGGAAGAACCTAGATCTCTGAGAGAAGGGGGACGAGTTGAGGCCTGACACTTGGAAAACAGAGGTGCATGGCTACGTTGCACTAGACGATTGCATGTATGCATGTATGGCAGATTTTTATTTTATTTTTAATATATTTTTATTGATTTCAGAGAGGGAGGGAGAGAGAAACATCAGTGATGAGAGAGAATCATTGATCAGCTGCCTCCCACACGGCCTCCTGGCCCATAGGTCGGCGCTCAACCACTGAGCCGCACCAGCCTCGCCAGCATGACTTTTCATTTTTACAAAGGGAAATCTGCCTCCTGCACACCCCACATGGGGATCGAGCCTGCAACCCAGGTATGTGCCCTGACAGGGAATCGAACCGTGACCTCCTGGTTCATAGGTCAAGGCTCAACCATTGAGCCACGCTGGCTGGGCTGTTTTTTAACCTGTTTTTCCATCTACAAAATTAGGAGGCTGGAGTTAATGGCTGACAGCAGATACATTATCCTCTAAAAATTTTCTGATCTCCATTTTACATTTGAGCCCTGGCTGGTGCCGCTCAGTAGTTAGAGCATTAGTCAGCACACCAAAGGGTCCTGGGTTCAATTTCCAGCCAAGGGCACATATCTGGGTTGTAGGTTCGATCCCTGGCCCTAGTCAGGGTGCATGCGAGAGGCAACCAATTGTGTCTTTCTCTCGCACTCCTTTCTCCCCTCCCTTCCTCCCTCTAAAAAAATCAATGGAAAAAATATCCTCTGGTGAAGATTAACAACAAAACCCCCATTTACATTTGAGGCCCCAGGAGCCGAGTCGTTATGTAACTTGCCCAAAGTCACAATGCAAGTAAATGGAACTCAGCCAGGGCTGAGGACCCCAAGTCTGCAGTCTGTGTTGCTGGAGTCGAAACCCTCAGTTCTCTGAGGGTGAGATCCTCCTAGCTCCCTCTCCTTGCTCTGCCCCATCCCCCAAGAGACACAAGGAGGTTGGTGGCAGTGGGTGCTTTGTACTACCTTAACTTCCAGGTGGCCAATGGTCTTTCGGAGTTTATTCACACGGATCATCTTTTTCCGTTTCACCTCTTTCCTGCAGCACGGACAGGTCTTTTGTCTAGGGAGGCATGGGTCGGGTGAGTGTTTGGATTGGGGAGGGAGCAAGTGGCAGCAACATGTTGGTCCCTTCTCTCTAGCTGCAAGAGGCACGAGAGGGCTTTATATAGGGACCTCTCAGCTCTGAGGCCTGGCCAGGGGCTGCAGGCAGATAACACTTGGTGAGGGGACCCACAAATTTCAGTCTCAGTTATAGCAGCTGAATCTTATGGCCATGGCTTCGCAGACCTTCCTTTCTGCCCTGGTTTACAGAAATGGCCCTTATCCCCACCCTTGCCTCCCAGCCTCTTGGGAACCCAGTAGCACCTGGCTAGCCACCGGAGAATGCACTTCTTGCAGAAGATGTGGCTGCATGGCAACCTCACCGGCTTCTTGAGAACTCCATGGCAGACAGAGCACAGAAAGTTGCTGTTGGGAGGGCTGGTGAAGAGGTTGAGATCATACCCGCCACTCTGAAAAGACCAGCCAGACCAGCATCAGAAGCTGGCAGGGACCAGAATCTGGTCACCCCATTCCATATGCCAAGAGGAAGACCCCAGCAAGCTTTGGGTAGGGAGGTGGGTCACGTGAGAGCCTTGAGTGGAGTGGTGGGTCAGCACTCACTTTGAGGGGGCAGCTGTGAGGGTCAAGATCTTTGAATACTAATCCCCAGCTTTAGGAGCTGGTCTTGGCCTGGATTTACTCTTGGCCAGAGTCCTCTGAAAGCTTTCCTTATTCCATTTGGGAGATTGTAAGCCATTGTCCACCCTTTCTCAGAATTGGAGTTCAGCTCTGGGCAAGTCTCTGGATTTAGGCACAAATATAAGGGCCAGAGGCAAGAGGGTCTTGGACTCACCATGATATGTGTCTAGACCTCAGCTTCTGACCCCTGGGGCTGAGGAGCTTACATTTCACAGGGGGAGTGGGCTGACATCACAGTGGCATTGTCCCAAAGCAGGCCAATCACAGTCCTGGCCCAGGGCCCACTCGGACTCTGCACCACCTGGCTCTTAACTCCCCTCTCCAAAAGGGCACAGACCTGGGGTAGGCCCCTCTCCAGCCGTGGGCAAACTACAGCCCTCGGGCTGGCCCGTTTGAAATGAATAAAACTAAAAACAAAAAAAAAAGACCGTACCCTTTTATGTAATGATGTTTACTTTGAATTTATGTTAGTTCACACAAACACTCCATCCATGCTTTTGTTCCGGCCCTCCGGTCCAGTTTAAGAACCCATTGTGGCCCTTGAGTCAAAAAGTTTGCCCACCCACGCTAGCCCCTGCCTTGATGGTGACTGCCAGCTGATCCCCAAGCAGCACTAGGCCAGGAATCAAACTCCTAGCGACAGTATCCCCAAGACCGAGGCAGTGGGGATGCACGTCCCCTGTTCCCAGTGTTGGGCTGGACCTCCTAAAATAGTGCTGCCCTGGTGGCTAGTTCTCCAAGAGCTCAGGGGCTTTAGGATCTAAGACCCAAGGTGCTCCAGGATACAGACCAGGGAAATGAGGACCAGATTGCAACGCCACCTACACACAGTACAGGAAGAGCTAGCCTGTGGGAAAACCTCCCAGAGTAGGTAGGCTCGGACCATCTGGGCAGGCCTATGAGAAAGGCATAGGGAAGCCAATTCCAACCCGAGAGAGCAGCATGTCCCAACATGTCAAGCACAGAACAGAAAAGTGTATTTCCATACCACCGAGTGGTTCACTCATCACACCCTAAAGACCCTAACCCTGTCCTGCGGGAAGTGACCAGGGGGCCGCTGTTTGAACTGTGAATCTTACACTCCTGCCCTTGCTAATGGCTACCAGGCCCAGCGGGACTCCCATCGAGCTCAAGGTACTTTATCTGCTGTCTGTGGGCCCTTAGGAGTCACCCCCCAACCTTGGAGACGCTAAGCTCTACCCCCGTGTGGCATCCGAAGCAGAACAGGGCTGTCTAGGAGGAAAAGGTGGCCGACGCGGGTCTCTCCTTCACGGCACACACTGATATGAGGGTCCACAGATGACAGGCAGGGGACCAAAAAACACCCACATGCGCATGAGTTAGTTAGACCAACAGCTTTATTAAAAAATTAAGACAGAGACAACATACTTTAAGGAGATAAATAAGAAAGAGGACAGCGAAGTCTCCCTACTGCCACGATCCTGGCGGCGTCGGCCTCAGTTGGGGCATCCGGGAGCCCTGCGGGCAGAAAACGGGGTGAGGACCTGACATGAGAGCACGCGATCGGTAACACCGGGGCCGCGGCGCGTGTCGGGGCCTGGGTTTCACCTCCCACATCGTGTGGACAGTGAGCTGAGGCCCCCGGTGGCTCTGGGCGCCGAATCTCACCCACGGTCACGGGCAAGGCCGCGGGTGATTTTCAACCAACGCCGACCTCCCGACCACCGCCCAGCAACATGCACAGCCCGACCTACCTGCAGCCGGAGGAGGCGCGCGCGCGGCGGAGCAGCATTTATAGCGACTCCGCGAGCCCGGAGACGCGCAGGCGCACGCAGAGCTGACGGGGCCCCGTGAAGCCAATCACAAGCTGTCTTGGAGGCCCCGGGAACACTCGCGATAGGGATGTTGCGGTCTAGTTCTCGCGGCACTTGGCGCCATATAAATTCTCCCTCCCAGGAATCTTTGTTCTTCTTTTCCGACGAAACACGTGAGTGCTCGCTCTTACTGGTTTGGGTCGGGGCCTCAGCGGCGGCGGTCCGCGCACGTCGGGCTGGACCCGGGATGGTGTGACCGCATCTTGGGCGGGAGGGAGCCCCAGTCCAGGCGATCGCGAGTGCCAGGGCCTTGTTGACTGTTTTTTTTGTCGCTCAATTTAGCAAATGGCGGATGACGCCGGTGCTGCGGGAGGGCCCGGAGGCCCCGGGGGCCCCGGAATAGGAGGTCGCGGCGGCTTCCGTGGAGGATTTGGCAGAGCGGCATCCGGCCGGGGTCGCGGCCGGGGTCGGGGCCGGGGCCGAGGCCGCGGAGCTCGTGGAGGCAAGGCCGAGGACAAGGAGGTAAGTCCGGGCTGTGCGCGCCGGACGGCCCCGTGGGCGGCCCCGGGCATTACGTCCTCATCGGCGCCTTCTCCCTCCAGTGGATCCCTGTCACCAAGCTGGGCCGCCTAGTCAAGGACATGAAAATCAAGTCCCTAGAGGAAATCTACCTGTTCTCCTTGCCCATCAAGGTAACGCGTGGGTCCTCTTTTCCCTCCCGGATGTTAGGCAGGTGCAGCCTTGGGGAGTCTCATTTGGTCTCGGGATGAGGGGTGAGGTTTATTGGGGGGCTCCGGGATTTAATAGGTTGTGTGAGTGTATGGGTAGTCGGTCTCTGACGTTGGTTATCAACAAGGAAGCCAAGTTAAGTGTCCCAATGAATGGTGTTCAGAGGTGGTGTTTATTTTAATCTCATTTAAAATAAAATCACAAATCTCATTTCTCGCAGGAGTCGGAGATCATTGACTTTTTCTTGGGGACATCCCTCAAGGACGAAGTCTTGAAGATCATGCCTGTGCAAAAGCAGACCCGTGCTGGCCAGAGGACCCGGTTCAAGGTATCCCAGCCACCTTGTGCTTTCCTGGGCTGTCGCTGCCACGGACTTTGGGGGACTCTCCCAGCTCTGCACTGTCACACTTGCTTTCACACGTGTGGCTTTCGTAATGGGGAGAGAGAGAAAGGCTCTCCTCAGGACCTCGGGCTGGCCTCGCAGTGGCCAGCCTTTGCTTGAGGGGTGCAACAGGCCTCGGGGGGGTGGTTACTGGGGCTGTGTTGGTCAGTGGACCACCAGCCACTTCAGTCTCTTCGCAGGCATTTGTTGCCATTGGGGACTACAATGGACATGTCGGTCTGGGTGTGAAGTGCTCAAAGGAAGTAGCCACTGCCATCCGTGGAGCCATCATCCTGGCCAAGCTCTCCATTGTGCCCGTGCGGCGAGGCTACTGGGGAAACAAGATTGGCAAGCCCCACACCGTACCTTGCAAGGTAGGCTGGGTGACGGGTGACTGATGGGGTCTTCAGTGGCAGTGTCTCTCTAGCCCCAGCCTTCTGACTCCAACCCTTTCAGGTGACTGGCCGCTGTGGCTCTGTACTGGTGCGCCTCATCCCTGCCCCCAGGGGTACGGGCATTGTCTCGGCCCCTGTGCCTAAGAAGTTGCTGATGATGGCTGGTATTGACGACTGCTACACTTCAGCCAGGGGCTGCACTGCCACCCTGGGCAACTTCGGTAGGTGGCCTACACAAGGGCTATGACCTCTGAGCACTGCTTAATCACAATATGGGTGGTTGGTGGCCTATTTTCAGAGCGGATAGCCCTAAATGCAAAGTAACCTCTTCCTAGGAGCGGGACAGCTCCTGCCTACATCTGAAGTTTTTTGTTTTGGGTAAATCCACCAACCCTTTTCCCTTTTCTAGCCAAGGCCACCTTTGATGCCATCTCTAAGACCTACAGCTATCTCACCCCAGATCTCTGGAAAGAGACCGTGTTCACCAAGTCTCCATATCAGGTACTGCCTGCCCCCACCACCTTATTAACTGATGCAAATGCAGTGTGCCTGGCTCGACAGTGAATGCCTTGTCTGTCTTTCTAGGAATTCACTGACCATCTTGTCAAGACCCACACCAGAGTTTCTGTGCAGAGGACCCAGGCTCCCGCTGTGGCCACCACATAATTTTATACAAGAAAAATAAAGTGAATTAAGCCTGCTAATAGTTGCCTTTTATTCATCAATGAGTCAAGGTTGAGGGCTGAAAGTGACACCAGAAACGGGTTTTTGTCTCTGTTTTTATTCAGCAAGAGATGGTCATTCATGTGGGAGGGACTCAATGAGCAGCAGCAGCCTCTCTGGCAGCTTTTCTCTCTTCGAGCATCCTCTGCTTCTGCTTTGCCAGGCACTTCCTGGCTGAATAATGGGCTCCCAATTCGTGATCTGGGAAGAGATGGGAGAGTCATTGGGCCACTTCTGCCATAATGTGGTGGCAAGTAAAGTCAAGCATCCAAGACAATTACTGGCAAAAAGGGACCTGGGGCACAGTGATAATTCTCTTATACCCTGCAAGGCTTTGGGAAAAGTATGGCAAGTACATTGATCTGAGGACTGGTTATTTCAGTGCCCACAGCTGTTAGGAATAGAGGGGTGGCTAGCAAGCAGGAGGGTCAGGCTGAGGTGAGGCTCACTCACAACGGTCCTGGTAGGCCTTGGCCACCTGTGCGAACTGCTCCACCTCCTTAGCACAATTCTGCCTGTAGCTCTCGCCTTCCCTCTGCTGACAGGCCTTCAGTCTTTCCTGGATAATGTTGACAATTTCTTGATCAACTTTGCTGAAAGAAAAGGGAAAAAGAAAGGTGGTCTACAAAGAATCATTTCTCTGCACCCCAAGAGAATGAAAGCATGGGTTGGACCCTATCTGGCCCCTCCACCCCCAAGATCTTGGGCATGATATGGCCGCTGTGCAGGGCTCTGTTCCCCAGTCAAGGGCAGACATACTAGTCTCTTCTCCATTGCATTTCTGCTTCAAACATGCACAAGACATCGTTTTCCTTGCAGTCGGTGATATCCGGCACCCGGCGGAACTCCCGGTGGTAGTAGTAATACTTGTTTTTTGCATGCTGCTGCTCTATAAACTCTGCAAAGAGAAGCCCCCAGATTCAGGTCCCATTGGTTTGGTCAGGCCACGGTTTAGATCAGGGGTCCTCAAACTGGCCCGCAGGCCACGTGCAAATACAAATATCGTATTTGTTCCCGCTTTGTTTTTTTACTTCAAAATAAGGTATGTGCAGTGTGCATAGGAATTTGTTAACAGTTTTTTTTAAAACTATAGTCCGGCCCTCCAACGGTCTGAGGGACAGTGAACTGGCCCCCTGTTTAAAAAGTTTGAGGACCCCTGGTTTAGATGGACTCTGCTTTATTGCTAATAAGCCACAGGAGGGGCAGATTTCCCATGTCCTCAACTTTCACAAAGACTGGCAAGTGGAGTCCAGTGTAGGCTGGGAAGGGTGACTAGGTTTTATGGCGCTCCCTGTCACTGTCTCCCACCCCCCAACAACTCTAGGGGGAAGGTCCTTATTTACAGACAGGACTGAAGCACGGGGAAGGCAACCTGCACCCGGCCTGCCCGCCAACCCCCATCACGGACTGCACTGCAGAGTGTGCACTGAGACTCAGAGCCACCAGCAGGGATTCCAGTCCCAGTTCTGCCCCCACTCACCTGGCCTAAACTCCCCCATAGGAGGTCAACAAGTGGGACCAGGGAAGAAATAGCAACACACAGGGAGTGGGTCCCCTGCCTTTGCCAGACCTTGGGGGTCTGGTTTGCTGACTTGATCTTCCCTAACAAGAGCAGGCCATGCACACCCATGTTTCTTTTAATGAATGGAATTGGTTGGTCAAACTAATATGGATGAATTGCCAGGTACTAGTGACTGAGGGCAGAATATGTTCTTGCTGCCATCCCCTCCCGCCCCCCCATGGCTGAGCCACAAACTGGGCAGTAACTGTTTTAAACTGGACTTGGAGCAATTTGGGCACACACGGAGAACAAGTCATACATAGCATGTCTAGGCTGCGAGGAACTCGGCCATCACCCGACCACCCGATGACTGCAGGCGTGCAGAGGGTCAGCAAAGAACCCTTTTCTTTCGAAACCCGTTTGCTGACCCCGATTGCACACAACGCAGGACGGGGAGCGTGCAGGGAGACGGGTCTCACAAGCCCCAGGACACGGACGACTGCATTAGGCAAACCACCCCTAATATCTGGGCGAAGTGGGAGACCGGATTGCATGGCGAGTCCCCCACGCGGTGGGAACCCGCGAGCACCGAGGGGTCTTGGAAGGGGGCGTCCCCGAGGCAAGGCCTGGGGTTGTGGTTGGGGGTCTAAATAGGCGATGAGGCCCGAAGATCTACGGGTGGGCGGCCCGGATGGCGGCGGGTGTCCAGGTTAGGCCACGGGGTCCGCAGTACCGGGGAACTCGGGGAGCAGCGGGGACCTGGTGGAGCCCGTACCTCTCACGAGGGTCACAGGCCGGTCCACGAGGAGGTCGAAGGCCTTTGTCAGATAGGTGACGGGGTTGGGCAGCGAGGTTTGCGGCGCCGGCGCCGGCGTGCGGCGTGGGGGCTCGGGGTACACGTCCTTGTC